TTACTATCCAGGAAAAGCTAACATTGTAGCAGATGCTCTCAGTCGGAAGACTTTTACTGCTTTGCGTAGTTAACGCTCGATTGATGGTAAAAGAAAATGGTGCATTGATGGCTGAATTAAGATTGAAACCAGTGTTGTTGGATCGGATCCAGGAGTTACAAAAGAAAGATGATAAGTGTTTAGCTTGGTTTGATCAAATAAAGAAAAGTGGAACTGAGAACTTTGAAGTTAAGTCAAATGGATGCTTATATTTCAAGAATCGTGTGTATGTCCCTAATGACTGTGAGCTAAAACGAGACATTTTGTATGAAACACATTGTAGTCCTTTAACGATGCACCCAAGAGGGAACAAGATGTATCAAGATTTCAAATAGCGTTATTGGTGGCCGGGTTTGAAGAAAGATATTACAGAATTTGTAGCAAAGTGTTTAAATTGTCAACAAGTGAAAGTTGAGCATCAGGTGCCTTCCGGTTTGTTACAACCCATCTCAATTCCGCAGTGGAAATGGGAAAACATTACGAAAGACTTCGTAACGGGTTTGCCTTTTTCGTCGGGTAAAAAGGATTCAATTTGGGTAATTGTGGATTGTCTTACAAAGTTGGTGCATTTCATCCCTGTGCGGACGGATTTCTCTATGGAGAAACATTTGAAATTATATATAAAAGAGATAGTGCGACTTTATGGCATTCCACTTTCGATAGTTTCTGATAGAGATCCTAGATTCACTTCGAGATTCTAGAAATCTTTGCAAGAAGCTTTGGGTTTCCAATTAAATTTTAACACGGCGTTTCATCCTCAAACGGATGGTCAATCAGAGCGAACAATTCAGATTCTGAAAGATATGTTGAGAGCGTGTGTGATTGACTTTGCTGGTTCGTGGGAATGATATTTACCGCTTGTTGAATTTGCTTATAATAACAGCTACCAGTCCAGTATCAAGATGACACCGTATGAAGCGTTATATGGAAGAAAGTGCAGAACACCACTCAACTGGTATGAATTAAAGGATCGAGAAGTTCATGGTTCAGATTTCGTTAAAGAAGTGGAAGAAAAAGTTCAAGTGATCCAGCACAATTTGAAAGTTGCCTCGGACAGACAAAAGTCATACACCGATTTAAACGAAAAGAGAATGAATTTCAAGAGGGCGCTAAGGTGTTTTTGAAAGTATCACCTTGGAAGAAGGTGCTTCGTTTTGGGCGTAAAGGAAAGCTGAGTCCTAGATTCATTGGACCTTATGAAATTCTGAAAAAGGGTTGGACCTATAACCTACCAATTAGCGTTGCCGCCAGAGATGGAAAAGATTCAAAATGTCTTCAATGTGTCTATGCTTCAGCGGTATCGATCTGATCTTGCTCACATCATAACTCCAGATGAAATAGAAGTTCAATCTGATTTGACATATGAGGAAGAACCGGTTCAGATTCTAGCTTTCGAGAACAAGCAGTTGCGGAATAAAACGATTCCACTAGTGAAGGTTCTTTAGAGAAACCATAAAGTAGAAGAAGTTACGTGGGAACGTGAGGAGGATATAAGGAAGCAATATCCCTACCTTTTTGTGCAATGAAAATTCGAGAACGAATTTTTTTTAAGGGGGAGATTTGTAACATCCCAAATATCAGGTCAGTGATCAAATTGTAAGAATTTCTAAACTCAGTGTTCGAATTAGAATAAATATGTAAACTTAAGGATTTATAGTGGAATTTGTGTAGGGTTAATGGAAATTTTAGTTTATTGAAGAGGGCAAAATGGTCTTTTTCTAGAGGGATTTTATCCTCATTTTAATAGAGATGTGCACGTGGGTTTGAGGGAAAAACAAAGCAAAGTCTGGAAGCATTTCCTTCTCTTTTCTTATTCTACGTGAGACCCATATTTAAGGTAAGAATGTTAATTTTTCAGTTTTACTTTAATCTTTTGGTTGATTATGGAAGTTTGGTTAGTATATAAACTTAAAAGAAAGCTTATATTGCATCAAATCAACAAAATTAGTGTTTTAGAGATAGATTTGTAAAATGGGGTTTTAGATGAAATTTTGTTATGGAAGAGTTTTTGAAGTTTGAATGAGATTTTTGACTTGTCAAGGATTAAACTTAAGAGTTAGAAGTGTTAGATGTGTCTAAGAACATGTTGAAAAGTTGGCTTGATTTTTAAATTCAAGTGTTCATATGGGCATTTGGATGGTTAAGAGTGGTAATTGAATACTAATTGGTATAGAAGTATAAGGGTGAGTTTTAAAGAAAGCTGAAGGTTGATTTGGATCGAGAATAGCATACATTTCAGAAGATCAGAACAAATTAAATGTAGGTTTTTGGTTCATTTTGTTAAAACGGTTGGCATGTAATATATGTTCAATTTGAAATGCTCTGACCGATTTTGTAAACTTTTACCTTTGAGGTTATCTATGTAAATTATTAAGACATTTTGTGAAATGATTTCTGAATTAGAATGATATTATTTTCTTTATTTTGATTGTAACAATAAGTTTTAAAATTATGTCTAGTTGGGATTTTCGTATGTTTGAAAAGTCAAATGTGGCACCTCGGATTCGTATCTGGGACGGGTATGGGTCAGGGGTGTTACACACTCCGCGCTTTGAAGCTTTTGAAAGTTGAAAACACATCTGACTTCTTCTTAATAGGGTACACCCGGCATCTCTTAGAGTAGTAATAAATAAATGAGAAAATATTTTACCCCGCATAGGGATGTAATTGGTGCTTTCCATACGTCAGTATGAACTAATTCTAGAACACTTTTCCCTCTAGAATTTGACGTGTTGAATTTCAACTGGTGCTGCTTACTTGTTATACAATGCTCACACAAAGTAAGTGATAAATTCGTTAAGCCTGGAAGTAGTTTTTGCTCCATAAAGACTTTCATTCCTTGTTCTGACATGTGTCCAAGTTTCTGATGCCATAGCATTGCAAAATCTGAACTACATGAGGCAACAGAAGTTTCTACTTCTAGCAAAGTCTCTCCCTTCAGCATGTACAAGTTTGCTCCTATATTTTTGCCTTTCATCACCACAAGCGCTCCACGGAACACCTTCATGATTCCTTTCCGTGTTTCAATCTTGCTTGCATTATTATCCAACAATCCATAAGATAATAAATTTTTCTTCAAGCCTTTCACGTGTCGCACATCTCGAACAACTTTAATTGTTCCATCATACATCTTCAATTTGATGGTTCCAACACCAACGATCTCTAAGGTATGATCGTTGCAACTATACACAGATTCTCCTGAGGCAGGTTCATAATGATGAAACCATTCTCTTCTTAAGGTCATGTGATATGCTGCTCCTGAATCAATGAGCCATATATCTGCAAATTTTTTTCTACCTTTCATGGTGGTTGACGCTTCACAACATATAACATCTCCATCATCTGAAGTGTTTGCGGTATTGCCTTGTGGATTTGAGTTTTTACCTAGACTCCAACAATCCTTCTTCAAGTGACCTTTCTTTACACAGTTGTAGCACTTTAAATTCTTCTTGCTTCTCGACTTTGATCTACCATATTTGTGACTGCTGCTTTGGTCATGTTCTGTTGATCTCCTTCTCATCGTTGTAAACGCTTCTATTTGTTATAGATTTACTTGTCTGTCGTCTTTGTTTTTGCGTCGATTTTCTTCTTGTAGAACAGTATCTGCAACGTCATCGAAGACTATACTGGTGACATTACTGATTGTCAAGTTGATAATAAGTTGATCATACGAATCATACAGACTTTAAAGTAGAAGTTCAGCACGTTCTTGTTTTCCTATTGCGCATACGGAGAGTGTACAATATCTTCTAAAGAAAAATTTTGGTTAAGTGCTTCGTCACTTAAGTAGATTTTGGCATACGGAGAGTGTACAATTTCTTCTAAAGAAAAATTTTATTGCGCAACGATGTGGTCTCGTACAATTTGGTGAGATTATCCCGTATCTCCTTAGCTGTCTTATTCTTCTCGATGTTTGACAATACTTAATCTGCTAATGTTAGATAAAAGTTTTTCATAACATTCTCGTCAATTTCGATCAATTTGTTGTCATATGTGAAATCTACCGGCCTTTCACTGATAGCTGCTAGACAACCGTCTTTCCTCAGGATGACCTTCATCTTCAATTTCCACAATGAGAAATTTCTCTCATTGAACTTTTCAATATTAAATTTCGTTGCCATAACTTCTATTACGGATAGCTCCCACTATTTAACTGTCGTGAATAGTTCTCTGGAACCTTCAAAGAATGAGTAATAACTTCTTACTTTCTTATACTGGAGGATCCACCTTTTGGTGGCAACCACAAAGACAATAAGTAGATATTACACACTCAAATTTGGCTCTGATGCCAATTGTTACGGAATATGGCTATCGGATAGGGTAAAATCACAAATGATAATTTGAGAAAATAAAAATGAAGATAAAAAAGACATAAATTTTACATAGAAAACCCCTAAATAATATAAGGTAAAACCACGGGCAAAGATAGAAGAATTTCACTATGAGAAAATAGGAATTACAACTTCTCTCGATCTAACAAGGAGAAAACTATAACAATTCTCTCTTGATGAAAAGGAGAAAACAACTCTCAATAAAATTTTCTAAATTCTCTAGTATTGGGAGAAAGATAGAATGATTTGAGATGATTTTGAAGCTAAATGGGTTAGGGTATTTATAGTTGAAACCTAAGGACTAATCGTGTAAATACCCTAAAGTACAAGGATTATATTTGGTAATTTCCCCTTACCAAATTTTCAACAAACACTACCGCTTTTGACTTCACCATTTGGTGCATTAATGCACCAAAAGCATCTTAGACTTTTAACAGAAGGTGGCTCTAATAATGCCTTTATTTGCACTACTACTGGCGCTGATGAAAACGTTAAATCCCCATTGGGCCACCATGATGGTGTTGATTGTGAGATTGTCATGAACAGTTGCCAGGCTTCATTTTGTTTTGACATGAATATGAATACAAGCTCTAATCATCTCGAAGTAAGAAGTTCCAATTTTGGTAATGACACTTCCATTGATGTCAATCATAGCCTAGAGGATTCCGGCAACACCAAGATATTCTCTTCTCTAAAATTCTCGCATCATCATTCCTCAAATTCTTCACCAGGTGAATTATGAATGTTAAAGGTCCCCTACCCGAAATTTTCTTGCCCTCACTCTGAAAATCATATTTTACCAGAGTAATATTGTTTTGGTTATTGTGTAGAAAGCAACATACTTATTTCCTTGTTCTGAATTTCACATTTTCTAGATTTCTAACAATGAGAGTGCAACCATAAGACAGGAAGCGCTAAAGCAACTCATGGAGGCTTCCAAGGATTCAAACCATTTGATATGGACAAAGGTATAGTCTGATCGAAATCCATGATACTCATTCCATGGATACGAACCTTTCAATATAAACATAAGTTACTATGTTTAAGATCTCCACCTTCGAAGATGTGCTTGTCCAACATACACACACATACATGGACCTAAAATCATAATCAGTATGTTAATTTCCATGTGTTTATTAAGAATCTGATTTTCAGCACATCGACCAATGTTGATGGATGGAATGGCAGATTTAATGGCATTGAGGTTACCAAAGATGTAATGGCATGCAGAAGGGAGACAGATTTTATAGTTTGATGGATGGAATCTTAATCAAATGTTGAAGAGACTGCTATCAAGTGTTAGCAGCAATATGCTCATGTGGTAGATGATTTTTTGTTTTGTTTTTTCTTATTTTGGCAGCATTTCAATCAGATTATGAAAGTTTTCATTGAGGTGTTGGACGATCCTGATTCTTCAACCAGGGAACTCACCTTGCAGTTAGTAGCTGACATGGTGAACAAACAGGTTTGTAGAAAAAACTAACACTATATATATCAAATGAAGATTTAAATAGTTTTATCCTAGAAAATTTTCATTTCACCCTACGTTACCTGGACTCCAGCATGAGCGTAGGATGTGGGTATGATTCCTACATGGGTTTGTTTAATTTTTTAAAAGCTTTTTCATGTATTTTGAAAGGTTCTTGAAGTGTCGTATCCGATGCCCGTGTTACGATATGTGTCAAACATAGGTGTTGGATATGGGAACTTGAAAAAAATGAAGAATCCAAATAATATAATTTATACATATGTTTCTATTATTTTCTAATGTGTTCTAAATCTATGTTCTGTGAATCCAGAAAGATGCCATGGAAGATTCTATTGAACTTGTAATCGAAAAGTTACTTAATATAGCAAATGATGCAGTTTCCAAGGTGCCATTGTTTTCATCAGCAGTTTGTTACAGACTAAAGGCCTAATATCACCCCTTCTCCTTAACCTAATACGTTTCAATTATGTTTCAGGTTTCTACTGAAGCAGAAAAATGCTTATCATCGATTTTATTTGAATATGACCCTTTCAAATGTCTTAGTGTATGATTACTCAACTTCTATGAAATTGTTTTCTTTAATGTTGAAATTTTTTCATGATTTTGTTTCATTTTTGGAGTTTCAGGTTATTGTAGCCCTTTTATTCACTGAAGATGAGAAAACTCTTATTTTTTGCATCAAGACATTAACAAAGGTATTCCATAGTTGACTATATATCCTCATTATGCTCTTAGATGGTGAAGTTAATGATGAAAAAGTGGTTTATTGAAGCTATAGATTTTTAAAATATCAGACTTCCTCTTATTTGGAGACGTACACAGTTGCTCAAACCCGAGTCCTCTAGTAAGAATAACATTCACTTTTACCACTAATTTAAAAACCAAATAGTTTTAATATTACAAAGGAATCAACTAATTGAAAACTAAATAAAATATAAAATTCAGTTAAATTCGAATAATTCCATTTTTTAAACTTATGAACCGAAAATCGAACAAACCTAATTTATTGAAAACGTAGCCAAAACTGAACAAAATTGAACACTAGGTTTGAATCCGTTTCGGTTTTCTTGGGTTTACTGCTCAGCCCTAGGACAGCGGACAACAAAAGATCAACAGTGGTTGTAGACTATAAGCAGTTCATCAAAATAAAATGAGCATAAAATGAACTTTCAAAAATAAATAAACAATATCATCTAGTTGTCCGGTAATTTTGTCGCTTCATGCATAGCATTAAATTAAAGCCCCCGGCAGTTTGTTCCCTTATTTCATTGTCACATATAATAGACTCGTTTTTTCTGCTTTTGCAAGCTTGTCAATCGGCTTTCTCAAGAGGAACTTCTGGCTCAGCTACCTTCATTTTTACCTGTTCTTTTATGTACATTCCGGAATCGAAGCGCTGAAGTTCGCAAGGTAGAACTTTTCTATTTTATGGTACATGTGGTGCATTTATCTTATGCTTCCAGTTAGCACTAAACAATGGTTACTTGAACACGTGTAGGACTGGAAGGTTACATCTCCATGTTCATGTTCATAATTATGTGAGATATGGTTACTTGTAGAAAAATGAGTTTCAGAGTAGCAGAGGTGCTAAAAGTGTAATTTGAACTTGGATATGGACATGTTCTGCAGATATGTTCGTTCTTAAGGAGTTGGATTTGAACTTAGATCCCTCAAATACATAAGAATGGTATATTAGCCACCAATCACCAATTAAATTATTCACCTTAGCCTTAACTTTCTTCAATTCCATCTTGTTGCAATCCATTTGTGGCATTTTCAGAACTGACCTAGATTTGCATATGAATTTTTTTTGTATTTTATTTTTCGTTTGCAGTTAATACTTAATATGCTAGGTTACGCATCTGATGTGACATAAGAGTTTTAATTTATATTATTTCGACTCTTCATATTACATGAAGTACTTGTGTGTGTCCAATGCATATCCGGGTATGGGTATAAAATACGACTCTGCAAGACCCTTTCAAAAATAGAAAAGCTTAGAGTAACAAAAATTGAGCATACACCATTTCGTATCCAAAACAAAGTCTGCATTTGGTGATCGGATAACCAGTAAAAGTTGAGCTTGATCACTGCATGTTAGGTTTCTCCTTGACTGGTCATAATTGATCAATCATGCTCACCATTTTCAATTATATGTTTGGTCATACTGGTTACAGACTGTTGTTTCCTGCTTGGTCAACATTTACATCACGCTGGGGAAGGCATTCCGGCCATATCTGCGGGATCTCAACGGTACCCAGTTGCGTCTGGTGACTCTTTATACCAACCGAATTTCCCAGTTCAGAAAAGGAACTTGTGTTGAAGCTATCAATTAGCCAGCAGTTTGAATGTGTGAATTTAGGGTTTTTTAATGTAATTGTTTATTTGATTAATTAATTTGCATTTTTAATGTCTTTGGTGTTGTGTTTGAGTTTGCAATAGAAAGGGTGAATTTCCAGGCTTTGTTGTATTTGACCTTTTGCCGTCTAATGCAAGAAAGTGCTATTTGGCTTGAATATAGTTTAATGTTGAGATTACAGCAGGTAATATTTGACATGACATGAGGATGGTTTTGAAAAATAATTAAAACATGGCATGATATGAATACATGAGGGTAGAGTCGATAACAGTCGACGGTGCCAGAAGGAGAGGACGACCAAGGAGGAAGTGGGTAGACTACTTGAGATTTGATTTGAAGGATTTAGCCCTTACCGAGGACATGACCTCCGATAGGAAAGTATAGAGACTTAAGACCAGGGTAGCTGAGTAGTGTGGGCATCTCAGTCTTCTTTTTTAATGCCTTTGTAGTAATTTCCATGAATTATACTTTTTATATGTTTCTGTCATTGGAATTTATGTAGGCCTAGAATTAGAGTGGCGGAGTAGTGTTACCTTAGTTTAGGTTTTAATCATTTTAACTTTATTCCTTATCGCAGCTTGTTATCGCTGACTTCTGTTTATCCTTCTCTTCATGTTTCCTCTTTTAAATTTAACCGGGACTTATGTTTTTGTCTATAAGCAGAGATTTTCACACAGGGATTACTTCAAATTACAGACGCGCATATGAAGACAGCGTATGAAAATTGTTCAACTATTTCAACTATGTATTTATTGACTTATTTATCTATGCATTGTATTTTATCTTTATTTTTAATTTTCTTACTGCAGGAGGTCTTCAACGGAAGCTGCTCTCAACCTGGCGTTGGGGGCAGCTTACCACCCCACCTCCCCCTTACCCCATTGCATATGGGAATAGGGTTTTGTTGTTGTTGTTGTTGTTGTTGTTGTTGTTTTTATGCTTTAAAGCATCATAAAATATTCGATCCAGCTGGAATTTTCATTGTGGATTTGTCGACAGTCATTTTCGTCTGAGTTTACGTAATAATAATAATAATAATAATAAATAATAATAATAATAATAATAATAATAATAATAATATTATTATTATTATTATTATTATTATTATTATTATAACAAATAATACAATAAGTTTGTAGGCCCAATTGATAACAAAACCTAGAGCCTGTTTTACAAGTTCAACCCAAGCCAGGCCCAGAAATATATCCAAACTTGAAGGCCCAAACCCGAATACAAATTGGAGGTTCAGACTCGAGAATAAGTAGATCCGACCCATCTGACCCGGAAGCCCAACAAGTTGGCTTGAGAAGCCCAAACCCAATTAGGGTTTCACACATCTTATCTCCAGTCACCTGCAATCAACACCGTTCGATCAAAGTGGAAATGAAGGATCCAGATTGATCCAGCAAAAACCTTAGGGTTTTATTACAACCCTAGGGGCTATTCCGGTCGTCGCCTCCAGATGGTCCAATCTGATGCTACCACGCCACCACCGCCTCACCAGAAGATGAAAGATAACCGCACACTTCATTGTCCTTAGGGTGAGTCACCACCGTAGATCCGGTGACTCACTGGGTTTCATCATTGCGACCGGTCCAAGAGATGTACTTCGAGGCCTATAAAAAGCCTCGATTTACCTGCAAAGAGAGAGAGGAACGAAGACAGAGAAACAGTAAGGAAGAGAACGAGAAAAAAAGCTACGAAAATAGAAACCAACACAACAATCCACAACAACTAATATTCGAAAGCATAGAGAAGAGATCGAGATAACTTACCCAATTGTCTAAGTCTCCACGCTTCATCGGAGAGTCAAAACGTCGAAGGTATAACCTCAGATTTAGGTCGATTGGGAGGCTTTTAGGACAAAAGGGGTTTAGAATCGGGATTAGGAATGTAAGAGCTTTATTTCAGTGTAATTTTGTAACTTCTGGCCACCGTGAACGGTGGTCGGCAGTGGCTGTAAGTGACGGCGTATGGTGGTCGGTCGATGATCGGATTCCCTCTGGCGAGGGAATTTTAGAGAGAAGTGGGAGCTTATCTCTCCTAGAGAGAGAAACTGAAAGAAGAAATGAGAGATTTTGCCCTAAATGGCTGATTAATGACCTATTTATACACTCCTCGAAACTACGTCGTTTTAGGGAGGGACCTCTATGTATTTTCGAGAATGGGTAAACCCGTTCGTGGTCGTGTATGTTGTAAATTTTACAATTTGGTCAGTGATTTAGGTTTCTACGCATTTAAATTTGGTTTTCGCATTTTATTTTATTATGTTTTAGTCATTTCTTATGTATTTATATATATTTAAGGTAAATATCATATTTAGTCCCTTAGATTTTAATAATTTATATATTAACCTTGGTTAGTAATAAACGTTAAATTACACAGTTAATACCTAGATTTCCTGATATTTCAATTTTTTACCATTAATTTTAATATTTTATAATTTAATCCATATAATTTTAATATTTTATATATATATTCTGGTCATATTATTTTATACAATGAATCATAAAAATATTTCTTTAACTTATTAGGAATATATTTTAAATGATTATTGGTATAAAATAATACCCTCATGTTTGTTGAAAGGATCATAAATTAAATTAAATTCATATTTATAAATTTTACTGCAAAGACATTAATTAATAAACAAATGTATCAATTTTGGGCGTTGTGGGGATGCTAATCCTTCTCCACTCGTAACCGACTTTCGAACTCATTTTTCGGTAAGCAAACCCTTTTTGTGTTATTTTAATATTATTTATATAAATTTTATTACAATAACATAACATTTTTTGTAACCAATCACACCTTGATCAATGATTGGTGGCGACTCCTCAAATTGTATTTTATCTTATGTAAGAATAAAAACACTTACTTTTTCGAGACTATATTTAGAAAATAACGACACTTGTTTTCGTCGGGCAAAGATCGTCTTGACAGCTTGGCGACTCCGCTGGGGACAGTTTGTTTTAGAGAGTCAAGCCACCAATTTATTAATTAATTGTATTTGTAATAAATTATAAGTTGGTTAATTTAATTTTTGATCCCTTGAATAGCCATTCTTTTTGTGAATTAATTAACAATTAAATAGTTGTACTTGTTAATGTTTTCAGATTTAATTATGTGTCTTTAGATTTCAAGAATAAATTTGTTTGGTGTAAATTGTTTTTGTTTTTATGTTTTTCCTCACACACTGTGCACTACATTATCATGACATGAGCTAAAACCCCGCTCTATCCTATTTAGTATGAATGGGAAACTATTCCCTTGTGTGGTTTTCACCTCCGTATGAGATAGGGGACCATTCCTTGAGCTCACACCTTATGTTCCTCGTGTGGTTTTCATCTTCGTATGTACATAAGGTGGTGTGTTCCTTCGAATTGAACTCAATTCGAAAGCCTGTGATGGGCCATGATTGAGGGTTTGGCAACCCAAGTGGCACCAACAAGGACAATTCAATGATCCTTTTTACCTTAGAGCCGAACCCAACATATAGTAAACCTAGAACTTGAGCCTAGGCAGAGCCTAACCCAAAAGAGTCTTATAAGGTTATCACACAAGGAAAAACTTGTTGAGTCTTTTAATAAATGTATGTGAACTAGAAATCATGCGGTTAGGTTTATTTTTCCAAACAAAACATGGAACTAAAAAACATAAGGTTAGGATGTATATATAGATACCATGATGGATAAGATATTTTCTTTCAATTAATTGGTACTAACAATTTTATTTTTCTTATTTGTCTATTATGTAGGTACATTTTATTTTGCTCTAACTTGTTTATGTTGATTTCTTTTGTTTGCACTGCATGATCATGACATGATTAAAGGTATTGATTTGAGAGTGGTCATCAAAATAAAAGATTTTCATTATGGACAAAGGGTTTCATGATCAAGTAAACTATAACACAACTAGGGAATGGCATCTTGTGGGAGCTCCGAGGATAGAAGAAAGCTATGTGCCAAAAGGAGATACGAGAGATAAGAGAGAAAATGTCCAAGATGATGGATATAATATCTGTTTTGACCAAAGGAAAAGAGACTCCTGCACAAAAAGAAAGAGAGCTCAATGAACATAATCCTACAATATCAGATATACAAGAGACTTCTGATCTTAACCAATTTGAGAAATTATGCACAGTCACCATTTGTATCAACAGTTTATCTGGAAATATCAAGGAAATAGTGACAATTGTAGAAATTTCCAGAGATGAGAAGAAATCATGCAATCAGAACTCATCGTCATTTAAGAGTCTTTTCCCAACTTCAGAAACTCAGGATCAATCCAAGATGAAAAGAGGTTCTCATTTTGATGATATCCCTATATCATATAAGGAATTGTATGACAAGTTACTAGAAGCGAGAGAGGTGGCTCCATATTATGTGAAATCTCGACAACCTCCTTATCCAAATTGGTATGATGTTAATGTTCGTTGTGAATATCATGTCGGAATTTAAGGACATTTCTTTGAGAATTGTATCGCTTTCAAGCATTGAGTCAAACATCTTTTGGATTATGGAATTTTAGAGTTCGAAGTAAAGAATCGACCTAGTTTGGTCACTGATTATTCTATCATATTGATACCAAAGGTATTCAAAGGTAAGAGTATCAATGGGGGCATCCAGAAGGAAGAATATCTACTGAAGTATGAGGCTCAAATACATCATTTGAAAACTGAAAATGATAAACTGAGTGCATAAATGAAAACCATGCATAAGGATTTCCTAAAGATCAATCAAGCCTTTCAAAAGGTTGGTTTAGGAAATACCCCAAAAGAGTTGATAACAAAGGTCACTAAATTGAAAAAGAATTGTAAGACACGCGAAGATCAAGCCAAGAAGTTTTCTCATGATTTACAGGTTGCAGAAGAAATACGCAATACAACCGTCATCAATTTTGAAAGTTGTCAAGCCGAAAATCAAATGTTGAATAGAGTTATAATCAAGATGGAAGATTCATATCATGCCCATCAGTGTGAAATTGAAGTTGAACTAGAAGTCACTAGAGCTAGAAATAAGAAATTGATGAAATATTTTGATATTGTACAAGAACTTCTTGATCACAAAGATTCATTTACAAGGAAAAAT